TGAGTTATATTAGTTTTATTTAGGACCATTATCTGTGTAAAGATCCAAGAGCTAATATGGAGTGTAAAGATTTGCCAAAATATTTGTCCCTTTTTGTTCCCAAAGGTAAGAACTTCATTATATTCGAACCGAAATGTGTACATCAGAACCCAAAATATTAAACAACTACTCTAAATATTTGTCCGTTTATCCTATTCTATTGTTAATATAATGTAAATATTATTATTTATCAATAAGTCTAAATAATACATGTCAAACGGCCCGCTTATAACTTGCATGGTATCTTCAGTTTTAACCGTCTAACGGCCCATACAACCCCCGCACTTAAGTTTTTTGGTTCACCAATCACCTTTCGTCATCATCAAGTCAACTGTGTTGTGTAACTCACACAAACATCCGATTATTCTCAAGCGTCCTAAGAAAGTTCCAATTATTCTCAAGCGTCCTAGGAAGTTTGAGAGAAACTCACACAAACATTTTGCAGCCTCATCCTCAAGTCTGTTCAAGAAAATTCGTCGGTTCCTTATAAATACGCAACCAAATCTGCTCCTTTTGCAATCAGTCTAGCAAAAGCAAAAGTTCTGTAATAATTCTCAAACTTTCTCAGCATCCAAACCAACCACATCAGTTTTTTCACAATGTCGCTCATCCCCAGCTCCCGACGAGGAAGCAAAGTCGTCTTCGACCCATTCTTCCTCAATCTGTGGGACCCTTTCAAGGATTTCCCGTTCCCTTCCTCCTCATCACTCTTCGCAATTCCTGAATTTTCTCGGGAGAATTCAGCTTTTGTGAGCACTAGGGTGCCCACGTGTTCAAGGCGGACGTTCCGGGGCTGAAAAAAAGGATGTTAAGGTGGAGGTGGAAGACCACAGGGTGCTTCAGATCAGTGGAGTGAGGAACGTGGAGGAGGAGGACAAAAACGATAAGTGGCACAAAGTGGCGAGGAGCAGCGGCAAGTTCTTGAGGAGGTTTCAGCTTCCGGAGAATGCAAAGGTCGATCAGATTAAGGCTGCCATAGAGAATGGAGTTCTGAGTGTCACTATTCTGAAGGCGGAGGTGAAGAAGCCTGACGTCAAAACCACTGAAATCTCTGGTTGAAATTCTGATTTTTTTAAAGATTTTATCTATTTTACCTGCTCAGTCACAAATATGTATTAGAAATAAGAGTGCCAAAGTCATATCACAAATACGTATTTGATTTTGTTGAGTATCAATGAAATATAGACTTGTCCCTTTTTAATGAAATATAGACTTGTCGTTTTTAATGAAACATGGAGTTCTGAGTGTCACTGTTCTTCTTTGCCTACCGCAAATATACATATAATTGAAATTTTTTTATGTCAATAGACATGTCATAGCATGATGGTGAGTAACAATTAAAAAAGCTCTGGTTTCTGTTGCAATTTGTTTTAAGCTTAGTAATTTTGTGAGGAAGGTGAAGCCATTTCAACTCCTCTCATTGCCATTTGAAATAATACTCGCGAGATATTAGAAGAAACTAGAACTGAGATGCTTCTTGTTGGTCTTTGACTCAGTCTGATCTGATTACTTAGTTGAAAAGAAAACACTATATAAGCTTATTGACTACAAAAGGAAATAGAATTCCCAAAAACGCAGTAATAAAGTCTAACATTACTCTCCATTTCTGCTCTCTCTCTTCCTCTCTTTGTTTTCCACACAGCTTTTCCTCTCCAGTTTCAACCTTGAATTAGTCCTTTTCATTTCTTTCTGCATCGCTTGCATTCAGCGACTTGGAGAAGTAAAAAGGAACCATGAACCAAGAAACTCCAGCTGCCGCAACCATCACCAATGCTCTGGTAAGTGACAACCCGACGATTAATCAAGAAAACTCTTAACTGTAGCCAGACATTTTTCCAAAAGCATATGCCTAGGATTCTGGTCATAGTCCCACCGATTTCCAATGAAGCACCCAAATGTTGCGGTGTGATTGTTGGCGATTTTGCTTCTCAAGACTTAGAGCAACCTTCCACGGGGGTAATGATACGATGGAGATGCAGATGGATGCATTATTTGTGGCTTTTATCGTTCTTGAATGAATAAAGTTCATGGCAGTCGCACAATTGCATAATGGAAATGACATAATTCTGCAGAAAGAAAAATAAACGAATCAGATTTCGTCATCTTTATTTTACATTATGGGACGTAAAATTAGATGATTAGAGAAAGGTTAACGTTTTCGATATAACCAATTTGGTCACTGTTTTCTTCATTGTTTACAATCCAAGTCATTTTTGTCAATTTCAGGTTTTAAAAAGAATAATGATTGCATTTTCTTTTTTGGATGAAGTTGTTTCGTCACTTGCAAATAACGTATCTTCACAAACAAACAAAAAAATCATGATCAGGATCATTTGTTTATTTGATGCATTTGAAAGATTAAAGAATTCCATTTCGAATGAATTTTTGCAGTGATGATCTTCAAAAGAAAATTAAGAAATTGAACGGTTATGATTTTAAAATTTCTATAGTGAAGATACGCTATTTGCAAGTATGAGAGAATGAGCTCATCTCCAAAGGAGAAATGCAAGTATTATTCTTTTAAAAAAAAAATATTTCCAAAAGGATTTTAAGAATGTTCTTTTTTTTTTTTTTTTTTTTATGTGTTTCTCTAGTTGATAAGAAACACATAGTAATTGTTTGGACCCGATTTTACATTTTTGACCCAAGCAATCGAAGCCCTCGAATGATTATGAAATTAAGAGATTTTTCTTAGCATTACTATTGACTTTAATCATAGTAATTATCTTGAAAATATCCTTAAAGCTTACAAAGTTTAGAGTTATGCATGAGATTCTTTTGCAGATAATCAAGGGTTTTATCGGATTGTGGAGAAATTAAAGGAGATTGCATAGTTGGCTGCTTGCCAACCCCTTACAATCAACGCAGCAGTAAAGAGAGTTATGTGAGGGCTTGCCGTGTAGCTTTAAGATTCTATCCTAATCAAAATGGTATCTAGTCAGTTGCATGGATTCCATATTTGAATGGGTTTGCATGCAGAACCATGTGGAACAATGGTACAAGGATGCAACTTTGGATGATTAGCATATGGATATGCCATTTTATCTGTTTGAAACATTAAGAATTTAAGATGGTGATGTACCGTGAAGACTAAAAGGTCCAATGCATCGCAATGATTAACATTACAATATCACCAAAAGTTAGAGGATAATGAGTGGTAGTTCATGATTATTATTTCACAAGGTATGGTTCACAAAGGATAGCCCTTTCAAATCAACACACAAATTGCCCTGCGCAAAGCTTCTCAACAACCCTGAGATTTTTTTCCTCTCGCATTTTCTTCTCGCGAGCACATCTTCAGTTTGGATAGACATCAATGTGAAGGCAACCAGTGATATCTTCAATTTGGATAGACAACATTTGAGCCGTATAATCAGTCGACTAATGAACACCTTCAGTTTGGATAGATAGCACTGCTTCAAGATCGACTGGTTATTTATCCAAGTCACGGTCAATAAGGATTTACAAGTCTTTGTTAGTAAAGGTCATCTCATCAGCCTTCTCGGCGAAGTAAAGTGTTACCAAGTTACTACATTCGGCACATTGAAAGCCGAATTTGAAATTGAACTTCGCATAACTAGCAGCCTTGTCTTCAGGCTCTAGAACCCGAACGCTGAGACGTGTTCCTTTCTCGGCCTCAGTCGCAAGATCAAGAAGTCAGCATCGTGCCCAACGCCACATCAACATATTTTACTCCCTGGCCGAACTCAACCAAAGAGTTGGCACGCCCCGCACACAACCGAATGACGTAGTTAGCTTATTAATTACTCGGCATATGCGCCACGTAGGCTTGGCAGTTTTTAGGGTCAACAGTAATATACGGAACATCTATAGTATGTGAAAAGTATATATTCAATGGTGTGAGAATTCCGAACCAAAAAAAAATATATATATATATATTTATTTATTTATTTTGGTTGTATTTTTATTGAATGTTGAATTTAAGTAGTTTGATAATAAACTATGTTAGAAATAGAAGTTTGAAATTAAGTAGTTTGAAACATTGGAGCGTCAATTGGACTTTGTATGAATAAATTGGTATTTCAATTGGTATGAAATTTCAAATTGATATGAGGTAAACAACTTAAATTTCAATTGATACGAAATTGGGCAATAAAATTTCAGGCCAATAGCCCAAATTTTGGCCCCCACCCCAAAAATCTCAATTTTCAGCCCAAAAACCTGAAATCTAAAATTTAGTCGCAATCCATCCTGAAATATCGTAAACATATCGAAATTCCAAAAATTGAGAATACCAGAATTTCGGTTTAAGATTGGTTTTCAATTTTCCGTCCCAAAAATTTTCGATTTGAGATTCAGAATCTCATTTTTAGTTTGAAATCCCATACCGAACCACCCCTACACAAACTTACTAACTCTAACTCAAAGTTTTTTAGAAGTTTTGTTAGAAATTATATATTATAATATTTAAGTTTTGTATGAATGAAAAATAAGAGTTAAGTGTTATAGTTGAATTTAAATTAATGAGTTGCGTCTGGTCGTTAGAACGTTAGGCAACAGTCACAATGTTTCAAAAGTGGTGGCTTGAGTTCTACATAAACTCAAACATCCTACATGTCTAAATAATCGAAGAAAAGAGTTTTCTTCAATGTCTTTTATTCTTTGTTAGTCAAACTCTAAGTTGTGTCTTGAGAGTACGAAATATATGAAGTTCATCAGAGTCCGAAGATTGAAGTGTTTTGACCTCAGATTATAGATCATTGAATCCTGGGAGACGGACGCCTACCGAACTACAAACACAAGAGTAGAGGCGAAATTCTGTCTTGAGGACATTACATTTATGCAAGCCTCAATCTCCAAGTTTGTCAATTTTTCGAACTTTCTCTCTAGTTATTTATGTTAATCTCATATATAATTGATGTTGTGATTTTTTTTATAATTATTATGATTGGAATTATATTATTATTTTTTATATTTTATAATATTGCTCAAACAAGTCTTACTTGTGTTTTGTCTCCGTCTGTGTGTGATCCTTCAAATATATCTCTGATCGGAGCAGTCTGCCCCCACCACTCTCATAATTCGCATTTGCTTCGGAACTCCTCCCTCTCTCCCTCTCTCGTTCAGCAAAGCCATTGCTCGAAACTGACACACAAATAAAGACAGTGATCGAGGGAGGAGGGAGGAGGGAGACATTGATACTTTCATTGAGGATAGAGAAAAAACTTCTCCACCTACTCCATAACCCCACCATGTTTGATGTCCAAGTGCTGCAACTTTAACACTTCACCATTTCACGCCATTTCTCTTTCTGGGTTTCACGAATGTCAGCTCCCGAGGCAACCCACCACCGCCGTTCGGCCACCGGAGGCAGCGGCACGTCGGTCTCGGATGACTCCGACGACAACCAGTCCTGGCGCTCGATGTCTGACTCCGGCAATGTCCGGAGGAAGTCTTGTGAGTCAGATTGTTCAGTGGAGGAGGTGGATTTGGAGAGTGGGCTTTTGGAGGTGAAGAAGGTGGTGCATTTGAGTAAAGTTGAGAGAAATTGCAGGATTTGCCACCTGGGTTTGGAGGGAGGTAGTGGGACCGACCCTGCCTCTGGGGTCCCGATTGACCTGGGGTGTTCTTGCAAGGGGGATTAGCGTGCTGCTCATAAGCAATGCGCTGAGACTTGGTCCAAGATCAAGGGAGACACGTGAGTACAAAATTTTTCTGAGTTTAATATTCATTATTTTCTTTGGTTTTTGGTGTTTCTGCTTGAAATTATGAACACCCATTTGCTGGATTGTGAATGTTTGTTCTGCTTGAGTGTTTAATGATGGTCCGAAAACTTTAGGATTATATTTTGTTCTGTTTCTGCATTGAAGTGCAAGCACATGGATGTAATTGGTTCCCGGAGTCAGCTCTCTCACTTTTGATGTGGTTTACTTCAAACTATGAACTTACTATGGGCATGTTACAACAGATACCATCTTGGTGGTGTTTAGGTTCCTGCTTCCGAGAGTTCAGCTTATTCGAATGATTACTTGCTAATTAGCTTCTTTCTTTTCATGTAATTGTCACGATTGTTCTTATCATTTTGCTTCTTACTGGAATGCCGAATTAGGCAGATCACGTATGTTGTAGAATGCGTATGCTCATATGAAATACGAGAAAATCAAGTAAAAGAACAATCTTGTAGTCACCACAATTACAATCCATCTGAACTCAAAGATATCCATCGTTCTAGGTTCATAGTTTTTATAGTCACACTTTCTGTGGCATTTACATTAGTGGAAAGTGCGAGGTCCAATGCAAGCTAAAGGAAGTGTGTTTGTATGCAAGAATTGAGCTCCTATGTCGAAAAGTAGATATCTTGTGTGCCATGTATCTTTTCTGTATGCTTCTAATAAAGATGTAAATGTTTAAATTATGCATATGGATTAGTAAATGATGATGAGCATTTGCATTCTTTGGTTCCGTCACAAGTTTATTTCGTTTATACATTTGGGAGATTTTCTATACTCCAAGGATGATAATTTGGTAAAGTTCTTAGGACCTTGCACGCTATACCCTCTTCAAAGGAAATATCCAAACTTAGGCTACAGGAAATATAATCTAGATAAGCTGCATCACATGATAATACAATGACATACATACATCATAGATGGATTGGTGAAGACTCGCTGGGTTGGTAACCAGGATGAGGAGAAGATATGCAAGAACAGCAAGCTAGTTCAAATTTCAACTCATCATGGTAAGCAAATGGAACGACATCTTGACTACATGACTTTTTTTCCAGAAACAGAAATAGAAGATTGATGGCTTTGACATCACTTATAGTGATTGTATAGCATTCTCTTTTATATTTTTTATATTTGTATGCTGTTGGTTACACGTCATTATGTTTGTTCAAAATCCTCATGGTACGTTTCTTCATTATGTTGCGTTATGGTTGCAAATACCAGTCTTGTCTGACTAAGCGTCATTATGTTCGATTTTTCCTTCTGCATAAGTGTCTTAGCCAACAATTCCTGTCTTTGCTTTTTCCTTCTGTCTAAGCGTGTTAGCTAACAATTTACCAAAGTACCAGCACAGTTCTTGTGGGCAGCAGCCAAATCATCCTTGCAAGAACAACCCAATTCAATCGGAGCCCCGGATTCGTGGCTGTTACTCTCCAAAGCCTGATATTCATAAAACCTGTGTCAGCTTTAAAAAATCTAACTATTTTATGAATCACCAGCTACCATTCTTTAGAATCAGTTTCCTGGGAACAAAGATCATTCGAATGTCACTATTATTAAACCTATTAGCAAGAACAAAGATTCTTAAACTTCCTATTTCCATATATGAATTTAAGGAGGAGAGAAAAACAGAGTCATGCATTAATGAACTAAATGGAAACTAAACAGAGTATTGTATTCAACTTTCACAATACGAAAAAAAATAAAAATTTGTTTCCACAAAAGCCCCAAAGAGAAGCTGAAATTGCTCACCTTGAGTTACAAAACCGCAAAAAAGGAAAAACCAGGGTCCCCTGACACCGAAAACAAAACCAAAGTAAAAACCCATATGCAGCCGAATTAAACACATACATGCAGCTGAATTAAAAACCCACACGCAGGATCCGATGGCACCAACAAAACCCTCAAAATCGCAAAAAAATAAAAATAAATTTGAACAGAAAACCCATCTGCATATCCAAAATCACAGAAAAGAAATTGAAACACCTAAATTGAGAAAGCCATAAAAACTCACCAGGAAACGCTAGCTTTTCTAGGTAAAAAAATTTCTCCGAGTCCAACTGAAGAACCGAAGAAACTTCTACAGGTTAGGTGGTTTTTCAGCAAGAAAGTGCGGTTGGTAATTTGTGAGACAAAGCTCGCAGGGTCGGAGAAGGAGAGAAGGCAGCTTTGGAAAGCGAAAGGAATCGAGGTTCAAGAGCGACAGAAGCAGGGAATTGTGAGGGAAAAAAGTGGAACGGAGGGAAAAGTCGAGAAGAAAGGTCGTGCAGAGCGATGAGCGACGCGTGGACAAACGCATAATGGAGAAGAATCGGAGGGCATTTATGCCATTGAAGACGACAGAAGCTGAGAAGTGATCGACTGGTGGAGACGAAGGGCAAAGTCGTCTTTTAACTGTTAAAAAAAAGGAAAAAAAGGAAAAAAAGGCAGATAACAAAGGAATTGGAGGGCATTTTCCCCCGTTTACAGTTAATGAACAGTAATTTTGTATTGAGTTTTAGTATATGTATAATTTCATGAGATGTTAAATGTTATTGATATTTAGTTGATATTGTTAATTTAATGTAAATATTATTATTTATCAATAAGTCCAAATATTACATACCAAACGGCCTGCTTATAACTTGCACGGTATCTTTAGTTTAAATCGTCCGATTAAATCGAACGGCCCATACAACCCCCACACTTAAGTTTTTGGGTCCACCATTCATCATCATTAGGTCAACTGTGTTGTCTAAGTAACTCGTACAAACGTCAGATTATTCTCAAGCGTCCTAAGAAAGTTCTGATAATTCTCAAGCGTCCTAGAAAGTTCGAGAAATTCACACATACATTTCTAGTCTCATCCTTAAGTCTGTTTTAGAAAATTCTTTGGTTCCTTAAAAATACACAACCAAATCCGCTCTTCATGCAATTAGTCCAGCAAAAGCAATAATTCTGTAATAATTCTCAAATTTCTCAGCATCCAAACCAACCCTATCTGTTTTTCAGAATGTCGTTCGTCCCCAACTCCCAATGAGGAAGCAGCAGCGTCTTCGACCCATTCTCCCTCAATCTGTGGGACCCTTTCGAGGATTTCCCGTTCCTTTCCTCCTCATCACTCTTCGCATTTCCTGAATTTTCTCAGGAGAATTCGGCTTTTGTGAACATTAGGGTCGACTGGAAGAAGAGCCCCGAAGCCCACTTGTTCAAGACAGACGTTCCAGGCCTGAAAAAAGAGGAGGTGAAGATGTAGGCGGAAGACGATAAGGTGCTTCAGATCAGCGAAGAAAGGAACGTGGAGAAGGAGGACAAAAACGACAAGTGGCACATAGTGGAGAGAAGCAGCGGCAAGTTCTTGAGAAGGTTTCAGCTTCCAAAGAATGCAAGGGTCGATTAGATTAAGGCTGCCATGGAGAATGGAGTTCTAAGTGTCACTGTTCCAAAGACGGAGGTGAAGAAGCTTAACGTCAAGGCCATTGAAATCTCTGGTTGAAATTCTGATTTTTTTTTTTTTTTATAGATTTTATCTATGTTATACGCCACATATAAATGCATGAAAAATACATATGTGCATTATTCGACAACTCTACTGAAAAGGTACTTTGAAAAATTCAAACCAGATCTAAATTTTTGAATAGTAATTAATTTAAAACTTTATCATTTTGATCTTTTTAATAATATGTTAAAAATACATATAAAAAGCATTTTTTGTACTATAAAAAATATATGTCAAAATTAGGTCCATTAAATGTAAAAAGTAAGTACATACATTAGAGTTTTTACAAACGTGCAAGTTAACGAAACACGTATTAAAAATAAACAAATAAATTCTTAAAAATATATGGAATAATTTTGAATTGGATTAGCTTCAGAGATTGAGCTGGATTGTCTTGGTTTGAATAAAGCAAGATAATAATAGTGAAGTGTTTGTGCATTGTTAGGACTAGCCACAAACAAAATACCCTAAAATTTTGTAAGGCTCTTATGGCAACCCCTCTCGTCAACCCACTTATCGAACAAAAGTTGGACATATTTGTAAGGTTCTTATGGCAAAAGCTTCAACAAGAACTTTGAATTTTTTTTATTAAAATTTCTTGACAACGTCGAATGACGAAAAGGATTGAGGCGTGACTAATCCTGACGTAATTTCTGGCAAGATTTTCTTGACAGTTTTGAGATGAACATTGAGATGGTAATTTTTGGCGGGCATTGTCTAAATCAGGGGTTAGGTGTGGATTGATGGCGTTGAACTGATGATGGTGAAGTTAGAAACGATGGAAGAGGAAAGAATTCGTACGTAGTACAAGCTAATCTTCCACTTCTACATCAAATTGTGTAAGACCAGTTAAGGAGGTCTAGAGTCCGTACAACCACCATGCCAATCCTCCCCCTGCAATCCCTAAACCCCATTCCTAGATTTTCCAAATTTTTTTTCTAATTCTTCGTCTTCCTCAAATCTCCTTAAAATTTTCTCTTAGTTTTCGCTTTCATTGTATGGGATGGGTGGTGGTGGTGGAGAAGGAAGAAGATGGGGATGGAGGTCTTGGGTGGGAGAAGGGAGTGGGCCCCTCTTTGTTTTGTTTTAATTTAAGTTTTTGTTTAAATTGTTTTTTGTTAACAAATTATTTTTTTATGCCACGTCATCAAATATGTTGATCACGCATTTGCCACGTCATTTGCCACGTCATCACTTAACGGTCAAACTAACGGTTTAATTAACGGATGTATGAAACTGCAATAAAATTGTGTATGAGATTAAAATGTTTTAAAAATGTTGTATGAGATTGTAATTACACTCAAACCCAAGAGGATAAAATGTAATTTACCCTAGAATAATCAAATAGAACAATCCACAAAGGAGGTCGTGTCACATCCTGGCCCGGGGCGGATCACTTCTCGGGCCTGCTCCACCACCGTAGCACGATATTGTCCGCTTTGGGCTTACCATTCCCTCACGATTTTGTTTTTTGAGAACTCACGAGCAACTTCTCAGTGGGTCACCCATCATGGGATTGCTCTAGCCCCCTTCTCGCTTAACTTCGGAGTTCCTACGGAACCCAAAGCCAGTGAGCTTCCAAAAGGCCTCGTGCTAGGTAGGGATTGGAATATACATTTAAGGATCACTTCCCTGGGCGATGTGGGATGTCACAGGTCGTTTTGATCTAAGGAATGGGATCCCCACCTTGCTTGTTCATGAGCTGGGACCAAGATTGAAGACTTGCTGAAACAAAGCTAAAGATCCCTTATGAAAGTGTACTTTCGTTCGTTCTTCATTCCGTCCTTGACCCATGATCAATGACATAATCCACCCAGAAGTAGAAAACCCAAAAAACTTGTAAAACCCAAAAGAAATTATGAATTAAAGTACTCAGAAATAGAAAACCTAGAAGCTCAGAAGAAATCGAGATTTGAAATCACAGTTTTAGTATTGGGTTTTGGCTGTGCGGGCTTTCTCTCTTATGAAGTTCTGCGTTTCGTCTACCTAGCTGGCTTTTCTTCCTTCTTGGGCTCCTTCGTCGTCGGAGTCTGCTGGCTATTGAGAAAGAGGGAGAGACAGAGAGCGCATCAATTCCTTGGTTAGGAGGATTTTTCGCAGGAGCAGAGAACGACATGAACCCGACTAATTATACGAAGGTATTAGAGAAGATAACTCAGTGAGTATATTATATATACTAAAATCCAAACTTCTGGTTACTGTTCTAGGGCAGTGTTCGGACCAAAATGCCCCTCAATCTGTTTGTTAAGCCACTTTTTTGCCATCTTTTCTACAATTAAATGACTTCCTTGCCCTCCGATGCCACACGTTCATTAGGGGTGGGCACTTAGAAACGAAAACCGAAATCGAAACACAAATTAAAACGAACCGCACCGAACGGTTTGGTTTTGCGGTTTTGAAACCTAACCGCAACATAGAAAACGGTTTGGTTTTGATTTTGACTTTTGACAACCGCACCGAAGCCGAACCGCATCGCATCGCAAATATTAATAAACATTTAATTAAATGTCCATATTAGATTTCATGTTTTAATTGGTTGTTTGTTAGAATGCATACACTTAGTATGGATTCAACCACACTAGAATATCATCATTCATCACTTTCTTTCGTTCATTAACTTGAAGGACCTTTGTTATTTTATACCATCACACACACATAATTGTACTAGGGTGGACTAATCTTGTTATCAAGAGTCGAACAATGATCTAATGAAGTCCACTCATTTGAAGCATGATATCACATATTCTAGTATGAAAGTTTCACTCAAGTTTAATGAATTCAATTTTTTTCAACTTGTTTTATGATAAACATTGTAAAGGACACCCTTTTGTTGCACAAACATGTTTTAACATCACAACTGCATGCAAAATGCTAATTGTTTACATAACAAATGTCTTTTTCCTATTGCTATTGGAAAATGCTTATTAATATGTTAAATTGCAAATTGTACATTTTTTTCTTAAAAACCAAACCGAAACCGTTTGAAACCGCACCGAACCGAACCAAACAGTTTGGTTTCATTTCGATTTTGGCTTCAAAACTGCATCAAATTGAATTGCAAAAAAAAATCTGCTTTGGTTTCGGTTTCGATTTCGGTTTTGGGTTCAATTTTAAATGGGTTGTTGCTTTCAGAGTTTTCATTTGATGACAGAGATGGGGGTTTTTGGGGAGAAACTTTTAATCAGTGAGTTTTTTAGTTAGGTTGTGTTGTGGGTCTTCACAAATTTCTAACAAAAGTAGCTTGACGATGAAAAGATCTAACCAAAGGAGGGGGAGAGAGCGGGAGAGAGCTCTGTGTAGAAGAGTGTTGAAACGGCAAGATCTGCAATTGGAAAGAAGGCGATGGCGGCAGATTCTATTGTGCTAGGTACTTAGGGTTTTTTTGAAGTCACGTGATATTTTCTTTTCAAACCAGGGCTTTTGTTTTATGAGAAAATAAGGCCATATATATTTATATTTATATTAGGAGATAATGCATATTTTTTAGCATCCATGCCGTATATATTTAGCATGTTTATGCATACAGTTTTTGTTATAGTGTATGATGGATTCTGTTTTATTCAATTTTAAATGTTAGAAAATTTTAATTTTTTGGGGTTCCATTTAAATGGGTTGTTAACAACCATTGAATTGCTTAGGTTGATTTTCTGGTGAGTTTTCCGCTTTTCTGGTAGAATGCCACAACTGAGCATTATCAAATTTATGATCTGACAAATGGTTTTAGGAGTAGTTGTGCTTATGCTCGGCGACCAAGTTTGGACTGCCACTTTTGTTTTTGGTTTTGTGAGGAAATAGATATAACGGTTGGAAAATCAATCTATTAGCATTTCCTCAATTGCTTTTATTTTGTGATTTTTAGGGGGTTTTGTCTGTATGCTCGGATGCTGTTTGATTTCAGTCTTTTTTGTAGTTTGATATCAATATTATTTGTAGTTTGATATAATATTTAGACAATCAAAATGTGTCGTTCAGTCAAATAGAGCAAAAGATGTTGACAAAAGGCTCATTTCTTATTTAGGGTGAAAAGGTAGAGTAAAATATAGTTAGCCGGTGAAAGAGAGAATCAAAGAGTAGGGAGGAACTATTTTGCGATTCAAACGTGTAATCCTAGCTTAGGAGTGACACTAATCTTCTTTGTACTGTTCTAATTTTATGAGATGTCCATGAAGGAGATTTCATGGTGGGTGGCTCGCAGCAAATTTAAGAGAACATTGATGCTCAAACGATGAAGATCTTGGTTGTCAAATTGGGCTCTGATTTGCTAGGTAGTTCAGGTTTTTATTTTTATTTTTATGTTTTTTTTATTTTGTCAACTAGGGAGTTCAGGTTTCAATTTGAGCTTTTGGAGAGAGATAGCTTTTTACTTTTCTTATAAAAAGCTTTGATCCAGAATGGGTGATTGATTAATTAAGATCTCTAACGAAATCCAAAACAAAGCAGCATGATATCATGACCAATGTTCACATTTTTGGTAGTGGTAATTCAATCCAAAACTTCATAATTTTAAGATACAATCTAATTGTAGTATGAAAAAATTCCAATTGTGGTATTTTAGATGTTGGAATCGGAACATTCAGTACTAAAACGACATCGTTATATAAGAAAAAGACAAGGATTGAACTTCTACTTTGCGATGGTGGCTCCACAAGTCAAGCTAATATCTAGTTCTGCCACGGTTGACTCTACAAATCATGAATACCATATTGCTAAATCCATCAAAAAAATTCTGAACAAAAACTCACATATGACCTATCATCTAATATTTTCTCGTAGTGCGCATCAATACAAACTTGTGATCGCAAACATAACAAAATTTAGAATTATAATAAAGATTCCACGGAAGTACAAAGTTTAAGCATAGTATGATAATTTTGTATTACTATGACTGATTACCTTTTGCTGTCCGTTTACCTTTATTTTTCATTTCTATTTTAAATTTCTTTATTTCTTTTGCTTTTCTTTTTGTCTCTCCTCCCTCCTGCATCCTCTCTCCCTCTTCTCTTAGCGAGCCGCCGACTGCCGACGCAACGGCTCTGTCGTCCACGGGTCACCAAAGGCTGTCAAATTACACATCCAGAATGCTCTTGCCGTCCTTTATCCAATCCCCAAGTAAGTTTCTATAAATTCGTAGGCGATTTTCCTCAATTTCTAATTTAAGAACGGTGACCCAGGGTTTTCTGGCCAACTTCCGGCCAATATCGCAGGAATTGGACCTCGACCCAAGAGGTAGAAATGATCCTCTTCTCGTGGTCTGTTCTCCAATGTAAGTTCTTTTTCCAAATTTTCAACTTTCAGTTTTGGGATTGATTCTTGATTTCGAATTTTATTCGGTTTTCTGTATGAATGTCGGAGATGAGACTTATGGTAATTGTTGTATCTGTGAAGTTTATGAAACCCCTAACGAAGGTAATTGTTGTATCTGTGAAGTTTATGAAACCCCTAACGAAGGTAATTGTTGATAGTTGTATCTGTGAACATCGGTTGTGAACTACCTGTCTCCCAAACACGCGTTAAACTTGGCAACGTAATTAACTCCAAGTACCTCAATTTATTGAATGCTTCAATGGAGTGACTATTTTCTTCATGCTTTGGTCCCTTGAGTTGGAAAATCACTTCCATTGAATTACAGTCAATTACATAAAGTTTTTCGAGATTATCATCATCATTTGAGTTCTCCAGATTACTTGGTGTAACCTAGAAAATTAAACACGATCAACAAGATGATACAATACTAATTAAAAGTTGTAATTATAGCGGTTAATTGAACCTAATTTAAAAGCTTACCTCCAGATTAATTGGACGTGGCAATATTTCAATGGAGCGTTGGGCGTTTGGTCTTGAATATGGTGTGCATCCACATCCAGCAGGGCACCAATTTGATGAACGTGTTGGAGGAGTGCTGAAATCATGACTTGTTGAATCCTTGTCAGACTTATTTAGATGTGTATTAAAAGTGAAAAAAAAATTAATGAAATTCTTCTTTATTCGTAACTTGTACGTGAAAAATCTTATATTCGATTATCATTACATGCGAATTTGAATTATATTACATCTAGCCATTATTATTATTATCAAAACATGTTCTGTCTCATCTCACATACCAAACGTACTTTTGATGATAGATAATATCATTTATTCCAACAAAAAAAAAAAAAAAAAGAATTAAGATGTAAAAAGTGGGAGAAACCCATTTTCTTTCCTCCTCCCGTATCCACCCTCCTTCTCTTTTGCGCTGCAACAGGAGCCCCATTAAACAGCAAGCCGACGACTGCCGTGTGCCGACGCAACAGCTCTGTCGTCCACGGGTCACCAAAGGCTCTCAAACTACACATCCCGAATGCTCTTGTCGTCCTTTATCCAATCCCCAAGTTAGTTTCTATAAGTTCATAGACGATTTTCCTCAACTTCAAATTTAAGAAACGGTGACCCAGGGTTTTCCGGCCAACTTCCGGCCAACTTCCGGCCAATATCACCTGAATTTGACCTCGACCCAAGAGGTAGAAATGATCCTCTTCTCGTGGGCTGTTCTCCAATGTAAGTTATTCTTCCAAATTTTCAACTTCCAGTTTTGGGATTGATTCTTGATTTCGAATTTTATTCGATTTTGTGTGTGAATGTCGGAGATGAGACTTATGGTAATTGTTGTATCTGTGAAGTTGTTGAAATCCCTAACGATTACGTTCCCGGTTGATAGTTGAAGCATGTCTATAGCATGATGTGGGATTGAACTCTTTTGCGTAGGAATTATAAAATTCATGGAAAGAATGTGAAAATGTGGTAGGAAATTAGAAAATGGGGGTCAAAATCATGTTATGATGAAGGCAATAGCTTAGCCTGATTCCTTGTTTATTCATGTTGTATTCAGCAGCTTACTTTGGTTCTGAATTGCCTGCTGTCCAGTAGATGTTTAAGACTTAATGTGGAGGAAATTCTTTCTTGAAGTTGCCTTAACTTACCTATTTGGTAGACATTTATTTAAGAAATGTTTTTTCTTTATCAAATATTAAGCATGCCTAGATAAATATGATTTCCGTTACGTTTAGGAGAAAACCAGATTTTATGAATTAATAGCGGACCTTGTAGTGTATGTTCATATTATTCAGCTTTCATTAGTTACGGCTAGCTAGTGTATCATAATATTGTTCAACTTATATGTAATGTAAGTGATCAATATTACAGTATATTCAGCTTTCCATTCTACAGACATGTCATTCAACTTACACATGTATGGTATCACGGAATTTTTAGCATTATGAATTGAAATGCAAATATTGGTAGCTAGAGACAACATTTCCAAATTATCATTATAAATGGCAATACAAGAACTTGAGCACAAATAAGCAAAACACAAATGATGCGAATTTAGAAACAAACAGTAACAATCGCAATCGAAATTTATGGTACATAAAATAAGCAACATAAATAGTATTTTTGGAATGAAATTCTGGTGCAACAAATGTCCTTTTATTGGTTTGTACATATGATATGGTAAACGAATTGCTGTAGCCACAACGTTCTTTAAACTCTTTTCCTGCATGCATTGGAGAATATTAGAAATCACTGAAATTGGAATAAGTTGAAACGCTTATGCTTATTGTATATGGGTTTCCAAAAATAGCGGGTTAAGGACTCAATTAATTTTTAAGCCACTTAGCATTACGGTTATGTTTATTGTATATGTGTTTCTGATAAAAGTTTCTCTTGCGGCAGTTGGTAATCTGAAATGCTTCTTCCTCACACCTTAACTGCTATTAGCTACCTCGGAAAAATGAATCAGGTAGCAGATTGTGGTTTTAGATCCAAACTGTTCAATTTTTCAAGTGCTATCCATGTATGTATATATTATATAAAACATGGTAGAATATTTTTTGTGTGCTATATAGATAAGTTGGAGATGGAAACATGCTAACCTTTGTGCTTGATCAATCAATTGTGTTCGTCCTTCCTGTTGGTTTCGTCATCTTCATCCTTGCCTTCGATTTCGTCATCGTCATCCTCATTGTCGATTTCATCATCTTCATCCTCACTGTATTAGAAATAAAAGACGATGTTTTCTTGAGATATAATTGACTTTTCTAAAATATATATATATATATATATATATTTAAATACACTTTAGTGTGCACATACTCGCATACACACACATATACATTAATATATGTATGCTATTATCTAGTCTTCTGTAAAAACTTTAGAAATTCCACGTATACATCAAGATTTAAAAGTGAGATGTTAAAAAAAAAAAAAAAATCATCTTTAAATACGCACACATAAGTGATTGAAAATTAGAAACTTTAAAGTAAAGCATATCAGTGGTTGTATATTGATGATGCGGTCTTCCAGGTGGACAGAAAAGTGATTGCAAATTAGAAACATTAATCTAAAGCATACCTTGTCCATTCCTGTCGAAATGCGGGTTTTACTTGCAATCGGGGATTATGCGTGTCAACAAGCTTAGTATCAAATGGCCTTAAGTCTTGCACATTAATAACCTTCAATAACTCCAAAGACGGCAACTTCAAAGTATAAGCTTCACCACAAAAATACTTGAGTTTTGGCAGACTTTTAAGTTTGATGGACTTCACTTTAGGTAATGTAATTATTTCAGCTGTTTCTTCGTCTGCGGCAACGATTTCTTCCATCTGCTGGCACCTATCAACTTGTATGTCCTCTACACTCACAAGGAGTTTGACTATGGACGAAGAAAACAAGTATTTCAACCGGTTGCAATTATAGACCTCCAGCGATTTCAAGTTTCCGAAGCTGCTTCCTGCGAACATTGGTTGTGAACTACCTGTCTCCCAAACACGCGTTAAACTTGGTAACATAAGTAACCGCAAGGACCTCAATTTTTTGAATGCTTCAACGGAGTGACTACTTTCTTCATGCTTTGGTCCCTTGAGTTGGAAAATCACTTCCATTGAATTACAGTGAATTATAGAAAGATTTTCAAGATTATCGTCATCATTTGAGTCCTCAAGATTAGTTGGTGTAACCTAGAAAATTAAACATGATCAACAAGAAGATACAATACTAATTAAAAGTTGTACTTATAGAGGTTAATTGAACCTAATTTAAAAGCTTACCTCCGAACTAATTGGACGTGGCAATATTTCAATAGAGCGGTGGGCGTTTGGTCTTGAATATGGTGTGCATCCACATCCAGCTGGGCACCAATTTGATGAACGTGTTGGAGAAGCGCTGAAATCATGACTTGTTGAATCCTTCTCAGACTTATTCTCCAACTTCTTTCTTTGTGGAATTACAGCACCCAATGTCTTCAAATTTTCACATTTTTCCACGTGCATATTTTTTGTGGATGACCATTGAAATGTAGATCCCGCTGGACAAAGACTCGTGAGACGAGGCAGGTCTACTAGGTCAAATCTGTTCAGTTTCCTCGGATACAAAATCATGTCTTTTGTCGCCTCTTCTTCATTTTCCTCTGTGATTCTGACTATAGTTTCCATGTCTGTACATCGAGCTATCTTTACCTCTTCAAGATTCAAAAGTTCTCGGGCAATTAAATGCGAGAACACATAATTTATTCCAGAACAATATGTCAATTTCAAATATCTCAAATTTTGGAAGCCCTGGAATCCAGACGGAATGTTTTTCCACAAGTGTGTAAACGAACATTCGAATATCTTCAACTTACGTAACTGGGGACATGTTGGAGCTGTCTGGCCATCCATAACTATGTGGATTTTCAGATCAAATAGCACGCCTTCAAACTTCATATATGTCAATCGTACCTCTTTTAAACTTGGAAACCATGAAATGCACTTTGATGGAAATATTGCTTTTTCAAATATTCCTGCAGATTGATACTCAACCCTTGCCGTTGTTTCCTGAAAAAGAAAAATCATTATCAGTTAAAGAAAAATTATGCACCAACTTAACCATTTCGTAACAATTTCAAATTTCCACATATCGGCTGCCTCCTCATATCATAGAGATTGGAGAGTGGGACATACCTCTTGGTTGGAGTATAGCTTGTTGGCTTGGAAGAAACCAACCAAACTCCGTAGACGCCAGAGACTCAATTTGGTTAATTTATTGAAAGATATCATATCGGCTTCCTCTCCATGTTCCCTCCCCTGCTTCGACACAATTTCTTCCATTTGATCACATCTATCAATTTCTAATTCCTGGAGTTGTACCAAGTTTCTCGCTGCTGATAGTGAAAAGGCATATTTTAAGACATCACAATTGAACAATCGAAGGAATCTTAGGTTGGTTAAAAAGCTATTCGGAAGTTGACTAGCTGATTGTATGTGAGGAAATGGTGTCTGCTGGGTCACACTTGTTCCATTTGCAAGATACTCAGTATTTGGACAATGCTCAAGAGTCAAATATTTCAAATCTTGAAATCCCTCTTGGTCTAAATCAGTGAGGACAGAGAAATTCTTAACTTCGCACAAAAACAATTTTTCAGATTTTTTCAACAAGAGCCTAACTGCTTGACTCTCCAACTCCCTTGCATCACCTTCATCAATAATTAGTGAGTTTCTGAATGCATAAGTTGTCATCTCCGAAAACATCTCCGAAAGCATCTCGGTACTTCCAATAGCGAATTTTATTGTTGGGCTTTTCAAGACTACGTCTTTTGGCAACAAGTGGATGAAATTGGGGGGTAATTCTATGGATAGAACCTTCAAATGATCAGACAGAGACATCACCTCAGAAATGCTTGCCATCCTCTTATCTTCTCTTCCTGTTCCAAGGTCCCATTTATCAAAGCTACCCATCATATACAACTCTTCAAGTCTACATAAGCTGGAGAAGATACCATGTGGAATCACCTCAAGTTCACTGCAGTTTGTCGTATCTAACAACCTCAACTGTTTAAGTCGTCCAATTTCCCTCGGCAACTCATGCATGAAATAACAATCCCGAAAGCTGAGGATTTCTAAATTCTCCAAACTCCCAATAACTTCAGTAGACCTGCCATCAAATTTAGACCCATCTAGGCACAAGGTCCGCAGGTTCTTCAGTACTCCTAGTGATCTTGATGAGCCTAGGTCTTCCATTTTCATTCCCACCAAAGCTAAAACCTTCAGTTCTTTCATCTCATTACAAATGATGTCCATACTACCTTCTGAAAAACATCCTTTCATCGTCTGTAGAAGCTCAAGTTTTGGGCAACCAACTGGAATCTCTAGATAGCCAACCAGTGAGATTGTGTCATATGTAGCTAAATTTGGCCACTCTTTATTTTTAGCATGACTTCTTACTAGAAATCGATGTGGATCTCTTGAAGCAATCGATATGGCAACATCGCGAACTATGTCATGCATTTTTGTAGTCTCCCTGTTGCTACTATCTATCAACAAAAACCTTCTTTGTAGTTGGGCAACCAACGAATGCACTCTATTTCTTGTATCTTCCAAAGTAGAGCAGTTGCTAAAATATCCTCGACCCCACCCATATCGAACCAAATACTCAATTGGAATATCATAATCTTCTGGAAATAAACAACAAAGTAAAAGACATGAACTGGCTTCATCACTCTCCAATCTATCATAACTCCATTTTATGCTAGAATAAACTTTGTCATTCACTCCAGGGATGTTCACTGGGGTAGAATTTCGCAACTGATTAAGGGCATCATCCCATTCACGCTTGCTTTTCTTTTCTAGGGCTTTTCCAACCGTTACAATTGCAATAGGTAAACCTCCACATTCATTCACAACCTCTTTTGCAATGGAACGTAAATCAGGATCATCGAAGGATTCGCCTACCATTTCTCTAAAGAGCTCCCACGATTCTTCTGTTGTTAAAGTCGGGACTGCAATAATTGGTTGACTTCCCATCCTGTTGCAAACGTCCGAATCTCGTGATGTCAACAAAATTTTGCACCCTTTATTAGTATGCTCGTAAGGAAGTCCTATAGCCTTAAAATCAAGCTCTGTCCATACATCATCTAATACAATCAGGATCCTTTTTATTTCCGTGAGTCTCCCATATAGCTTTAGTGCTCTTACAGACTCGGGATCCTCATCAAGTTTCAAACCTATTTGGCCTGCAATTTCCGACTGGATCGTCTTAACACTTGGACTTTGAGACACAGTTGCCATTACGATTTCGCCAAACAGGTTCAGTTCTGCCAATCTTGTGATGATTTCTTTCACCATTGTGGTTTTACCCACACCTCCCATTCCACAGATCCCGATCAGTCTTACTTCTTCCCTCTTCAAACCCTCTATCACCTCATTGATCTTTGCCATTCTGGACTTAAAATCTTTAAAACCTTCTTTGAATGTTGACCATATCTTTCGTGGAGGTGCAGGATGGGCCATATTTTCAAACGTTCCTTTGTTTTGGAGCTGAAGAACATGCTGTGTAATCTTATAGGCTTTCCGACTCAAGCTCCATCGATGCACACATCGCCTTTTCTTATTAATTTCATCCTCAAAATGCGACACTTTTTGGATCATGTCGTTCACATTCTTTAGCCAACTCTGAACATCGGGTTTGATATTTTCACCGTTCCTTTGGGCAGCATCTACCGATCCTTGCACTCCATCTTTCTTGTCAAAAAGCTTTTTTATCTCACCCCTAAGACTTTCAAGGTTGGAATGGTAATGAATCAAATAGCCAAACTCTGTTCCTATTGGTGTGACCAAGCATTCTCCAATTTTTGAGGCAATTGCAATTATAATTTCCATTGCCTTCTGAAATTAAAGACTACGGCTATAATGCTCCTCTTTGCTGGTGGCTTTTGTATGTCTCCTGCTCAGTGCTCGCCTAAAACAAAACAAGCAACACAACATTAGTAATCAGATATTTTTGTCATGTTTAAATCTAGGTAGTATTTTTATTTTATGCAAAAAAAATTGTGTGCTGATGCTTTGATAGCATTCGAATATAACATCACCACTATGTTTAAAGGGTTAATGTCAGTTTACTATCTTGAAATTTTTCAATTTTTAACATTTCATACATCAAGTTTTTTTGTTCCATTCTGGCACCTAAAGTCATAATTCTAGGATTCTTTCATAAGTTTTCCATTAGAATCTATTTTAACTGATGACGTGACACCCATATGAATAATGACTGGACATCACATGTCAATATGGGCCCACGTGAATATTAAAAAATATAGAAATAAAAAAAATACTAATAAAAAATTTTATGACAAAAAAACCCAAACCCTATTGTCTTCCTCACAGTCGCCTTTCTCACCATATGTTATGAAAAAAATAACACATGCATTTGTATGGTCCCCAAACTCACTGTCACATAATATTTTATTTGTTCATTTCTGCTAGCTACCCCAATCCATTTTTTTTTTTCTGTTTAGAAAACAATAAAAATTTGATTATAAGGGTGGATTAGCTCACTTTTAGTTGATTATTTTTTAATAGGTGACGGTTTCCTTAGGTTTGTTAGTGTTGGAGCTCAGCTGAAATAAAGTATTTAGTGAGCAGTAGAATGTAAAACCAACACTTTTATTCTTGGTCAGGCAAGAGTAAAAATAAACATCTAAAACAACAAATATTGGAAAGAAATAGTTTCCGAGAAATATGTAGTACCTGTATTGTAAGTCAACACAATACAACTGTCCAGAGTAAAAGTGAAATTATGATATATATGCTTTGTTCAGCAATAAATCATATGTCTGGAACTCGTAGTGGTGCTTCACGAATTTTGACACATCCCAACCGAAATCAAGGCGTATTAGCCAACACCCAGAAGGTGACAAAAGCCATAAAGTATAGATGATGAGCAAATATTTGAATACATAAAACCAAAGCTTATAAGTAATTTAAACTAGTAGTGAGGGTGCGCTATGCAGAATGTACCCGTACTACATAAATGTAAATTCAGAGCATATATAAAAATACAGTAACATAAAGATTATTCACATTCTAGGTTGGAAAGATAATTTTACAAACTACAGAATTAAGAATTACTACATTGATTGGTGTGGATGTCAGAACTGGTGGGGAATATCGACAGTTGAATCTCACCAGGTTAATTTAAAATTTCAAATACTTGGTGCTTTATAAGTTATTAGCAGTTTGTGAAAAATAAAAGTTATTAGTTACGATCACATTAAGTATGACATTCCCTAGTTTAAGTTAGAAATGTGATGTTACCTTTCCTGAACATATATGATCGGGCCTTTTACTGGTTACAGTTCAAAGGAACTTCATTTCATATCCTTTTCTTTCTATTTAGACCACTCTCACAAATTTCTCCGTGTTTTAGGAATGATATGCAATTATGTGTTTAGTTGTTTTAAAACTGCTTTTTTTTCATTTACTTTTTACGAGGTTCCGGTCGCGGGTCACCGGATTATGCAGTTTCACGTCGGTTTTCTGGGAAAATTTTAAATCATCATAACTTCCACATATCTCAACCAAACTGAGTGATTCAGAATGGAAATGATACCTCGGAATGAGGCGAACAGATTGGTACCCTTAGCAACGGCTAACTCGCCATGATTTAACGAAAAACAGGCCGGATGGTCCCTGAAATCGACGGACAAGGGATGGACAATTTCAAAATGTCATAACATGGTCATTTCTCAACCAATTTTTACGTTCTTTATAAGGAAATGAAGCACAAGGAACAAGTTTATACCTCTTAGAACTCCAAAAAGCAGACGTAAATGTACTGAAATTGGCCTGAAAGTCTCGGCCAAAAACCCAAAGCTTCGAAACCGTGTGTTTTCGAGTTGGGGATTGCCTCCGACTTGACCCAGGGACGTTAGGGAGTTGTGTGGTGGCTTCCAACTCTTCCAAAACGGTATGGAGTGGTCAGAAAAGTGTCGAGAACTTCGTCGGGAAGTTTCTTTCTCGTCGAAGCTTCGAGCTAGAGCCTCTAGTCTCGGTCTCCTACGAAACGGAGCTCGGGTTCGAGCTCGCGAGGTCAAGAGGGTGGATGTGGTGGTGGTTTGGGCGTTTGATTCGCCGAGGTTTGGTGACTTTTGCTGCGTTACAGAGAGAAGAGAGGACGGGAGAGTTTGAGAGGGAGAAAGAGGTTTCAGTGAGTGAGAGAGATGTTACAGAGTACGAGGACAACAGAGAGAGATATAGCAGAGTGCAATTGATTGGTGGGGTGACATTCCGTTAAGGGAAGAAAAATCTTACGGGATAAATTTTCAAAAGCTAATCGGCAATTTCTCCAACAGTGTCTGCCGACACTTTCTTTTGTGAAAACGTGTGAATTTACACAAGTATACAAATTTATTGCTTGTTATCAAATTTTAAATTGTTACAAGTTTAATTTGGATTTAGTTTGTATTTATGCATACATAACGACGAGTACTCAAATATATTAAAAAATAAGACGAATTACGCATTGGCTCAAACATCCATGTAAAATTCCATTAAACCCAACAAGATCGGTTTTGTCATTTGTATTCCCTTTAACAAGAAAAGGACAAAGTGAAGAGGAAATGGATGCAGTGCTTACGAACCAAATTTTCAAACGACAATACATGGCTCGAGCCATTCTCACTCTCTCGTGGCATTACAATTTACATCATTTCACGGTAGAAGCGTGGCAATTAAAGTTGCGTATTTTTTTTATCATTGTACAAAAATATCTCAAAAAAATTTATTCTTTTGTTTTCTGTTAAATAGCTAATCTCATTAAAGATAAAGCAAATTAAAGTATAGTTTGTTAAAAGCACACTAAAGTAAAAGTGCGGTTCTTTCCAAAAGTAAAGTGAAGAAACGACCTAAAAGTAAGGTAAAATTTATTCATTTTGAGATCGTTCGTCATGCAAATTGAATGAACAATTTTAAAATAGTGATACTATCAATACACTTATTTTTACTTTTAACATATTTTTTTTTGTTAATTTTTATCCTTTAAAATAATGTTTTTTAGCCAAATTAAAACTACATAAGTAAACCCAATACATCAAATCACACAAACGCACCCCTATGTCATACATTTAAATCACACGAAGAGACAAACTTTTCACATTTTCACAATCCAAATGAAAGCTTGATTTAACGGAAGAAAAATCTCACAGCAGGAAAAATCTCACAACAGGCCAAATTAGCAACTGAAGTAAAGAGACAATAGATTACAGAATGATCCTTTGCCATCTCTACAAGTGTTGAATGAAGATCGTGAGCAAACTAATCAACGTAAAACGCACACTCATTCTCCTTCAATTCAATTGCAATTTAGTTCAACTGTAAAGCTCTATAATTTTTGGATACAAAACGACATATCATGCCAAATACCAACTGCAAAATGCAGCCTATGGTCATCCATTCAAGTACATTACTTCTCGACACTAACCTGTAACTCCAATGTTCTGCAGTCATTTTTCTTGAGCAAGCGGTCATCATCGAACCTGTTAAAATTAAAGGGATGCAAAGACACATATCTATACTGACAATATTTTAACTAAATAAGGAAAAATAAAACTGAAGCCTATTCTACGACAACAAATCGGCATTGACTGATAATATATCCATTAGTTATAATGATATTTGTCATGGACGAGTTTTCATATTTTGAAATCGTTACTTAATAACTTCATGTTTGAAATCATCAAGAATGTCTTTCTCAATATAGGCAATCCAACAATCACCTGTCATTTGATTGAGTAACCAATTCTTCACAATCCTCATAGCACAAAATGCTCTCTACACTGGGAGATGCAGCTGGTAACATGAGTGCTAATGTCAACATCAAGTAAACTAATAGGTAAACAGTTTCTTATTTTGTCTCAACCATTTTTTGTGCAAGATCCGCAATCCCATTCAATCCTAAAAACTCAATGCTGGAGCGCATGTCCATAATGTGCATCTTAAGCTGATTTTCAAGCATCGTCAAGTGCCAAAAAGTCCCTTAAAAAAAAAAAAATAGTATCATCAAGTCAAGTGCCGAAAAGTCATTCGGGTGTACTAAGCAAGCCAAATCAACTTTTGTTTGTCAAAAGTAGATATGAATATCACTTGGATTCATACATGTCACGTAAAGAAGCAACTCAATATTTGTCTCAGCAAATCGAATATTTAGCTCTTGGAGTTGCATTTCAATAACATTACAAAACATCTCAACATGATAATGATGCATTTAAGTCCCCACCGAAATTATTTTATCCCTACAGATTGAAACAAGTCACTCATGTTAGGAACTTTAATCTGATGTTTGTCACATAGAGAAAAAAAAAAAAAAAAAAAACTGATTGATAATGATGCATATAAGTTCCCGCCGAAATTATTTTATCCCTACAGTTTGAAACATGTCACTCATGTTAGGAACTTTAATCTGATGTTTGTCACATACAGAAAAAAAAAAACTGATTGAGTGAAGAATCAACCACTTTTTCAGCTCTTCCTTACATATGCTAAGTTAATGACTAAGTTAATGGCGTGTGGGAATTTTGACAAGGAAGATCACTCAGAGGATGGTTCTAATGGAATACATACTTGTTTTAATTTCTTTCATAATTTGGTTGGTTTTTCAAACCCACGCTGAAATATAAGAATACATAATCTTTGGAAAGCCAACAAAATTCGCGTAGAAATACAAACAACTTTTACATTATTGTGATAAAATGCCACCTTTATTGGATCTGCTAACATGATGGTACATGCCATTTCACATGTGGTTACCACCACTTTATTTTCTTTTTCCCTTCTTCACGTGCCCACACTCCCCACTTTCACTCCACTCCTTTGTTTCTTTCTTCCACTTTTTCTTCACATTTTTTTATTTGTCTGCCACAATTCATCACTTTTCTGCTGCTGGATTGCATGCCAGACACCACCATCTGTTTTTTTTTTTTATCTTTCTTTTACCTCTTTCTTTTTCTTTTCTGGCTCAACTTTCACCATGTTTTTGAGAGAGAATTCTGTCAGAGTGAGAATTGTGAGAATTCTGTAATTATATTTGTTTATCGTATATCGCACGATCATTTATTAAGTAATATTTATATTTAATTTTAAATAAAAAATTTAAAATAATTTATAACCGATATACAATAAATAAATATGATTAAATAATCTTTATAATTCTTAAAAAAAAATTCGACGAGAATGCTCATTCATATTTTGTTTTCTCTTTGTTTTCTTTCTTCCGCCTTTTCTTCACGCGGACTCCCCCTTTTCCTTTTCCTTTATTTCTTTCTGCAATTCCACCATCACCTTCTTTTCCTTTTTTTCCCCCTTCTTTACTTTCCATTTTTTCTTTGTCTGGCACCAAGGCTAATGGAGAAATTCATGGTCTCAACTCTCAAGGCTGAAGGGACCCTTTTGTATATATCCAACCAACTCGCGTGGGTAGCAAGTAGTTCTTTACCATAATAGTAAAAAAATGTTAAGTCGTCGTATAATTGCGGGAGTCCAAATTCGTCAGTGACTAATCACGTATAGATGTGATTAGCCACTTTATCATAATAGTAGAAAAATGTTAAACCTCTGCATGATGGTTTGAGTCCAAACTTATTAGTGGCTAATCACTCATCGATGACTAATCTAACAAAATATATTATTTGACAAAAAAAAACCAAAAAACTCTCGTGAGTATACTACGTTTAAAAGTATACAAACTTAAACCAATTCACTAAAACGACATCGTTATAGGAGAAAAATATAAGGTTTAAGCTTTTCAGATTTCTTTGCGATGGTGGCTCTGCAAGTCAGCCAGGTACCGGTTTAAAGAAAATTCAGATGCCACAGCTCGAATCCACCGTCAAGACGTGGGTTGTCGTTTCCATAGGCTAGCTTCCGATCTCAGAAGTGGGTTGTCGTTTCCGTGGGTGTCGGAGGGTCACCAAGGACTTGAAGCCCACAAGGCAACAGGCGAGACTAATTTGTACTATTCAATTATGAGAAATTTTTTGAAGTATGTAATCATAATGAAATTACAAGAGAAGGCAAAAATCGTATAGAAATTTTGTATGGAAATCTTCAATCTCCAATCGATTTTCTCCATCGGAGTTGAGGTTACCGGGAGGTTTTCCCCAGTTTTCCTCCAATGCAGATCAGGGTGGACACGGGTTGGTTCTGTGCGGTTTTGCAGTGAAACTGAATTTTTTGCTAGTTCGGTTCGGTGTGAATTTGAAGCTTAAATTAATCAAGATAAAACCAAACCATTTGATTGCGGTTTAAATCGGTTTCAAAAGGTTTTGATTTCGGTTGCAAACCATATGCAAACTAGGATGTTGTAGCAACTAGAGGCAGACCCACATGACCCTGTCTTGCCATCAATGACACGAACTGTATAGATTTCATTTCCTTTGTGTCTTCTGAATATGCCACCAATTTGTTTGTTTGGACTAACCTCAAGAAGGATTAAGAAAATGAATTTGAAATGTTGGGATCGTCATAATATAAACCACTGCATTGTAATGTTGGTGTACTACTCATCCAAGATTTACATGCTCCGGAGGAGCATCAGGTCCGGGGTGCATGCTATCATACACAGACTGGATGTTCGACGTCACCCCTGCCGCTTTTGGTTTTGGGTATTAAGAGTATCTCCAAAATGATAATCGATAACTTATGTTGCAATTTGACATTTTGTACAATATTTTGTTTCACCCGATATGTTAAATTATAATGTCATTTAATAATTTTTTTATCATTTTGTGGAGTCTAATGATTAAGGCAACCAATCAAATATTTCAAAAACATAACCACATTTATTATATATTATATTAATCCATTAAAATATCATTTAATGAATTTCACATATGTTGTCAAATTTGATAGCAAAATGCCTTGCCTTCAAATGATTCAGCGCCACGTAAGAAATTGAAGATTCGGTTGAAGAAAATTTGCTGTTATTTTTTATTGTTGTATGCCTAAGTGGCAATTTTGACATCTCATTTAAAGATACTCTATGTGGAACGTACTCTATACCTTTGAGAGTCCTTTGATAGTAATAGTAGGGGCCTTTTCGTTCAGATGCAGATATATCATCCTCCTTGATCAGCTAGTCCACACTGATATTAAATTAAATATTTTCTTAATTTTGTCGGTGTGATTCGGTTTTGGCTTGATTTTAGATGTTCAAAGGCAAAACCAAAACGTTTCTTCATACTACAGTTCGGATTCAAATCAAAATCATTTTAAAATTGTAAAAATCAAATCATTTGGTGCGATTTGATTTGATCCGTGTTTTGATTTC